GCCTGGTGCTGCACAACCAGCTAACCAACTAAGTGCAAACCATTACCTCAGAGTTATGATCAGACGCATGACAGAGAAAACATTTTGCATTTTTAGCACCTCAACTTTTATTGACTCAACTAATCTTGGATTGTAACTCGTGCATTTTATGAAAATGTGATGTTTAGAGCCTGTTTCTCTCTAAACGTCACTGAGAAATCAGCGTTTGTTTTGGTTTGTGCAGTCTTTGTGAGATTCGGGTTCTTTTATTGAACTTTTATCATTTTGTGCTCCTTGTTAAAAAGCTGTTTCTGCAGAAGTCCACTCTGTGATCTTGTCCCATCTCCACCCAGGAACTCAGACCTTGGTGGCTTCAGCACACTTACAGCGTTATTGAAATTTCTTTAAAAGAATAATGGAGGCTGTTTGTTTAGTGAGAATTTAAACGTTGCAGATATTTTCCAACATTCACAAGCAGAACAGTTTTCTCCAAATCAGCTGTTAAACATCACGTAGACTTGTGTTCCACATAGTCTATTCTATTTTATTCTATGCTATTAATCCCACAGTGGGGACAATCACTTGTTTGATTCAGCAAAAAAACAAAAACAAACCAAAAACAGCATAAACAGTGTAAACCTTTAAAATATTGTTTTGCTAAATGTTGCATGAATATTTGCTCCTATATCATTCTTCTGCCTGTTTTGAAGTTTCAGCTTCTTTGCAGCCAACGGTGTTGCTGTGAGCAAACCAAATTTAAACACTGACCAAATAAATCAAATCTGGTTTAAGTTTTTTAACTGTTGTTTCTGTTGTGTTGCACTTTAAATGTTTTGCTGCAGAGAAAAAAGCTACAAATTAGAAGTGATATCCATCCATTCATTGTCTATACCCACTTGCACATGCGGGGTACACCCTGGATGGTTGCCAGTCGAAAGCAGGGCAACACAGAGGCACACACACTCACACCAAAGGACAATTTAGAGACACCACTAAACCTGGCAGTCATGTTTTTGGACAGTAGGAAGCTGGAGTACAGGAAGAGCCCGTGCTTGGACAGGGAGAACATGGAAACTCCATGCAGAATGACCCCAAGCTGAAATTTGAACCCAGGACCTTCTTGCTGCAAGGCAGCAGTGCTAACCACTGCAACACTGTGCAGACCTTAGGGGACGTAACATAATGGGGGCTCGTCCGGGAACGTTTTGCCCTTTATGTGGTGTTTCAAAACCCCAACCGGATGGTTTTCGGTTTATTCGAGTGTTTGGTTTAAGTATTTTTGTGGCTACCAATCCCGTAAGTAGTGACGGGTTTTTCAGTTGGCAATATTTTAGTTGTTAGTAGTTTTGGGTTTATCTTTTCGTAGCGTGGTTGTTGATTATATGTGCCAACCTTGTGATGTTTTCATAAAAGGGATTCTTTGACGTCTCTAATTTCTGTAACCGCTGTTTGTCAGCTTGCAGGAAAACCTAACCAGATATTTCACTTTTTAGTTCATTTTTCAACAAATGTTATGGAAATCTTTGCAAGTTAAATCACAGAAACAAAAATTGAACAGATTTTGGAATTTAAACCTCAAAAATATCTTCTAGCTGTTAATTAAAAGGTATTTATCTTTAAACCCAAGGAAAGAAATGGCATTTAAATAAACTTTTTGGGTTAATTTGTGGAAGTAAACGTTATATTATACTGGAAGGTAACAATAATGTAAGTATGATAAAATTACTTTCAAAAACCGTTAACTGAAACACCTACGTTTATATATTTTACATTTTTTCTAGTTTGGTATTTTTTTAAGTTGTGCTTTAATCCAGCATAAGGACCAAAATGTTTTCCTCCAAGCACCTACAAAACCTCGATTGCCACAGGTGGATTACATAAGACCGTCATTCAGTCAAGGTGGACAAATCAGAACTTTTGCATAAACTTCCAACGCATTATTGGCCGTGCAGATCTGCCACTGAATATAAATTAAAAAATGCTTATAAGTAATTACTGATTAAAACATAAATCAAATATACCAAACTAAATCGTAATGAAATCTCCCTTCTTGTTTTGATTGTGTTTTATTTGGCAGTGAGGAATATTATGAGGATTAAAATCATTTTCCATTTCCCTGAAGTAACTTTAAAACTGATTGATATTACATCATCTCATCTGAACACACTGGAATAAATTCTGATGAATCAATAAGAAAATGGTCTGAAAATTGGAGGGAAACCGTCTGAGAAGCCCAGATTTCTGAATGAGAAACTCTTACAAAGGAGACGCTGCAAAGAGGGCAGGATCTTTATCTCTAGGCAGGTCATGAAGACGTGGCCTTTAAAAATTGTGTTGAAAAAACATTTGGCGTGTCCGTCTGTGAAAAAAAGAGCGGTGCATGATTAGCGGACGGGGCTGGACAGGGTCCAGGCCGGGCAGACGGACACAGAAAAAGGCGCATTTACCTTGAACTCCACTTGTCTCGTCTCTGGGGCGGGGTCAGGTATTGTAGCCGGGTCTGACAGGGTCAGGGGGGAGGAAAAGGGGAGACAAGGGGAGGTGGGTGTGGAGAGGGGACAGGGGGCTGCCCCCGGGGTCGTGGGGTGCTTACCCCGCCAGGGGCCGGTGGGGGGATGGAGGGTAGATATTGGCAGATTTTTGTTGTGTGCAGATGCTCAATATGCAGATGTCTAATCGAATTGTGCAACGATGAATTGGTTCCCTCTCCTGATTTGCATCAGGACAATCCCCGGCTGTGGCTCAGGGGTCAGCGGAGTTCCCCCGGACAAAATGAGCAGCCGGCTGCAGACGCCCCTGAGAACGTGTGAACTTGAAGGAGACTTAACTTAATGACAAGGATATTGATTGATTCAGATGTCTGTCTGTCTGGGAGGGCGTCTGACATCTGTCTTTCCTCTGAGGATGTTGTTTTTCAAAGCTTAAAGAGAAAAAAAAACATTTATTGCTTTTTGGGATTTGGATTCATCTTTAGGCTGAAGTTCTGCTGTTTTGGATCAAACTGGACCTGCGTGGGTCTTCGTTGGTTCATGTAGTAAAGATTAACACATTTAAAGGCTTGATAATGATTTCATTTTGCTTTTGGAGACAAATCAACTCAGTAAGATTTACAAATTATTTAAAAACTAAACAGGAATATCTGATGGCATGTGGCCTGAAAAAGAAATCCCACGTAAAACTGGTTTTAGTTTGGTCACATTCAAACAGCTAAATGTGGATTTTAGTTCCTCTAATGACGTGAGTAAAGGATGGAGATTGGTGTCACATTTGTCCAAAAATAAATAAATAAACGTCTTTTCAGGATGGAATAAAGTTATTTATAAAGTCAATTATAGGAAATATGTTTTAGTTTAGTTTCCTTTTTTCCTGACTAATTATCTGAATTAAAAAAAAACTTTATTATTTCTGAGTAACTGACAGAAAGGTGGCTGGCCTTAACCCTCCATCTGCTCAGTCAAGTAAACAAGGTAAATTCAACTTATGGTTGTTTGCAGTTGTTTTTAAAAATAAATGAAGTTGTCCTAATCAAGTTAAAAACACCAGTGATGGGAATAACGCCGTTTACAATAACGGCGTTACTGACGGCGTTCTTTTTTGGGTAACGGAATAATCTAATTACTTTTCCCACTGTTGCAACGCCGTTTCTGTTACTGGGGACGGAAGGTTGTGCGTTACTATGTGCTTGTCGAATGTTGAGCAACAGCGTGAGGCTTTCTGCAGCCAGGGAGAGAGAGGTGTCGGTAACGCACTTACAAGCACGATGATGATTGGCCGGGTGGGCGGAGACCCTCACTCTCTCAGTCGCTGCATGCTGTAGACACAACAGAGCAGTGATGGGAATAACGCCGTTTAAAATAACAGCGTTACTAAAAAAAAAAAAATAAAAAAATAAATCAGTAATGAGCAAACTAATTAATTCATCCTTTTATCAAAACGTTGTTTCTGTTACTGATAAGGAAATGCGTGCGTTAAGCAGCGCGGTGTGTTGAAGCTGTCATCAGCTGATCAGGAGGTAAAGAGGCAGATGTTTTCATCCAAGAGCATCACGGCCGTGAAGAACGAGGAAGACGTGATGAATAGTCTACGGCTGCAGGTGTGGATCTGCAGCCGTGTCCTTCTTAGCGTGACAGCGGGACGCGTGTCCTGAAGGTCCGCTCACCTGTTCACTGCTCAGACGTCCTGATCTTCTACCTTCCTAGATCATCCAGCTGTAACCTGTTCCTGATCATGTGTTTAGTCCCGCTGTAACACTGATGCATCAGTCTCAGACGTCATGGAGCTCAGGTGTTGTTAGAACTACCTGTGTGTGTTCACCACCCAGCTTCAGCTCTTCTGTGGTTGTGTCTGACCCAAGTTAGTGAATGTAAGTCCTCCATCAGGTTTGTGCCTCTTCTAGTGTCATTTTAAAGGATTTTATTTATTTATCTGTTACTAGATTAGCAGCAACAGAAATGCTACTAAAAACACACAATTATGTGAAGCTGGAAAAATTAAAATACTGTACAAAATTACATTTATTTCTGTAATTTAACTAGACTGAGAGACCATTTAAAGGCTCAGGAACCTTTACAGGTGTTTCCATTTGCAATTATAAATTTTAGTTGATTGGGGTCTTGTTGAATATCACACAGTGACCTTTTACTAGTCTAGATTAGTGTAATGTTCCTGTTAGTAGTTCCTCCTGTTAAGTGCATATTTATTTAAATTATGTAGGTTTATAAAAAACATTTGGACATACATTTTATGTTCCTGTCATAAGTCATTTATATTTCACTATTGTATTAATTTATAGTAAATTAAGTAAGTTTAATTAACCAATTTTTCTTGCATTCTTTAATGAAAAAGTAACTAAGTAGTAATTTTTTGGTAATTAGTTACTTTTATAATCTCATAACTTTGTAAGTAACTGAGTTACTTGTTTGACAAAGTAATTAGTAACTATAACTAATTATTTTTTAAAAGTAACTTTCCCAACACTGAACAACACTGACATTGTTACAGCAACAAGAAGCAATTATCAGTTAAATCCAGAAAATGACTTTATTCTAAAGGAAAACTGACCATCTAAGAAGAACGACGCTAAAACGGAGGACTTTTATTCATATGAAGCGACATCTAATTCTGTTTGTAAAACTTGCTGTTTGTTAGAAAAACGTCTAAAATATTCTGCCCTCTAGTGGTCAACTTATGAAACACACATGGCTCTCAGACATTTTTAAACTTAATTCAAATATCAAATGCTGCCAACACAAACAAAAAGTATTTTAGCAGCTGAAATATGAGAAAATGCTCTCATTGTTGCAAATTAAAACAGTCAGATTATAAGTTAGATGCACCCTAAACGATAAATCTAGCTCTGTTTGTATGAAACACAGTTTCTCATTGTTTCGTTGAAAGAGAATAAACTTGTTTTAGATAAATTTTCCTTTTCTTATTTAATACCTTTTCATTTGGTGAGACATATTTTCTAATGGTAAAAGCAGTTTTATGACATTTATCTGGTGAAACAATGAAATAATCTCTTGTAACGGGAGAGGCGGGACTTCACTGTGAAGCGTTTGTTGATCCGGATTCAGGTTCTGGGTTGAGTCTCTCAGAGAGCTCAGGGATGTTTCCATGATCTGTGAGATCCAATAAACATTATTACTGACCTGAGACTTGTTTTTGGAAAGAAGATAAAAATAAGAGACAGAAACATAAAGCAACCATATACACTTTAGAAATGCACATTTGTCAGAAATAAGTTAATTATTTTCCTGTTGTAGGGTTTGACAAAAATTCAAGAATCAAATCTCAAAATTTCTCAAAAGTTTAACAAATAAACCACATTTTCTTTTTAATCAATAAATTCCATTTAATGTTTCCTGTGGTTAAAGAGCAAGTCACCCCTTACAAGAAGCGTACTTCACTCCCACTTCATGTTTGAAAAATGCAACAAATGCTGTTGCCAAGCAGACCGAGAGGGTGGAGCCACTAACAAATACATACACTCACGACATTGTGACATCATAATGTACCAGTTTACATCATAGCATACCTCTTAGCCAATAGCGGTGGCAGATTTAAATTCAAATGCAGTGCAGAGTTTTTACCTGACAACGGCACAACACTGACAGTTTCAGGCAGAAAATTTAAATTTTAACTAAAATGCACTAAAGTGCAAAACTATTGACTACACATGTCTGCAGCACGATTAGACACGCATTTATATAGTTTATCAGAAAAAAATAGTTGATTTGGGGGTGACTTACTCTTTAAAGTCAGGTATGCAAACAGCATCGTATCACCTGAGCTGCTGATCTCATCTTTCTTCTTCTTCTTATAAAGAACGAATCCAACAGCAGGAATGAGGACGACAACGAGAACAACCACCACAGCGATGATGGCGACGCTCATTCCAGCAGGATTTTCTGTTCGGAAACAGAGAACATTTATTTTAATGTTTTAATACTGTGGCAAGTGGTAGTCGTGATAAAGGAGTAAATGGTTAAAAAGGTGGTTGTTACCCCCCCCCCCCAGGGAAGGTTAGAAGGCCCGTAGGCAATAAAAAAAATCACAGAGGGAACAGATGATACAGTTGCAATAAAACAACTCTTTATTAAAATATCTAAACTAAAAACATGCTGTTGGAGCTTAAGAGCTCAGAGTTCACTAGTGGTTGCCCTGGCAACCAGGCGTCCAACGCCTAACAACTAGTTAACGCAAATCGTGCATGCGGAACAAATCCATACAAACAGAACAGCAGTGAGGAGTCTTCTGGGCCCACAACCGGCTCTGGAGATGAGATTGGTCATGGCGAGATGGAGCAACAGGAGGGTCAGTGCACCGCCGCCAAACGCTCCGCTACTCCGGGTGGCACCGCTGCGGGCAAAGCTGAATGTAATAGCGGCTCTCGGCGCACAGACGGGCAGCCACAGGTCGTAGCGCGGCTGAGTCGGATCAGCCTTAATACGGCTGCACACACACACACACACACACACACACACACACACACACACACACACACACACACACACACACACACACACACACACACACACACACACACACACACACACACACACACACACACACACACACACACACACACACACACACACACACACACACACACACACACACACACACACACACGCAGAGAACTGATTGGGAGTACCTGGTGCAGTTTGGCACCTTAACAGCATATGCAGCACCGGTAATCGCTGCTTGCAGTTGGGGTTTCCCATTACCCCAGCACCTGAAGTGCCATACCAAAGCTGTCCTGCTGAAAGAGCAGGCAGCTGCCTTTTATTAGAAGACTCACCCCACCCTGCAATCACTCTGTGAGCCACCTGGCTCCTTACTGGGATGGGGCCAGACGAGATCGGTCTGTCCCATCACAATACGATGATTGAACACCAGCGCCACCAAAACGCACAAATGTGGCAACATTTTGAGCCGAGTCAAACATAACCGTCATAAAGATTCCTAAACATAAGTCCTTAATTCCCCTTTTCTTATATTAAACAGGAAGAGAAACTAAACAAACCATAAAGTCTGTCCCTCACCATCTTTGTTTCTGATTCCAGTTTTCCCAAAGTTTGTTCTGATCTGAGTTTTATCCAGTTTGGTGACAAAATCCCTTTTGAGGTTATGGGGTGATGGTGACAGGAGTTAAGTGCTCGCCCCGTAATCAGAAGGTTGCAGGTTTGAGTCTTTCTCAGTCTGTCGCTGGTATTGTGTCCTTGGCACACTTAACCCACCTTGCCTGCTGGTGGTGTTCGGAAGTAACCGGTGGCACCAGCGCTCAGCCCCGCCTCTGTCAGTGCACCCCAGGGCAGCTGTGGCTGCATCATCATCCCCACCAGCGTGTGAATGTGTGTGTGAAAGGGTGAATGACTGATTGTGTGGTGAAGCGTCTTGGGGACTCTAGAAGGCGCTGTATCAAATACAGGCCATTTACCATTTCATTTTAAGGTTAAGAAGATGCTCTTATTAGATACTTTCTGATATTTTAACAATATTTCAACACAAGGTGTCATCAAAAACCATTTTCAGTCAATAAAATCAGGAACTTCATAACTGATCACTCTCACATCTATTCCCAGTGTTTTTATGTTCGTCATTGCTCCAAGAACTGGTTATTGGGTGTCAAAAAGACCAAATAATGTAAAGTGAAACTTCACCTTTACTTTGCAGAAACCTCTTAGCAGCATTTAAACACATCTCCAGCCACTGAAGGCAGTCTGTGGTCAGCAAATTCTTCCAATATCCGTTTTATTTTTATTCCACTCTTCTTTGATGATTTCAGCTTGAGGGTTAGAAGCAATCCACGTCTCGGTCTCCGTATCAAAAGAAAGGACGTTTTCTCCATTATAGGCGTATCTTTTAAAACCATCAACCCTTCCAGTCTCATCATCCCAATCACAGCCAAAACTCAGCTGGATGACCGAAGCACCTGGTAAAAACAAAAACAACTACAGACAATTACATGAAACCAAACAGTGGTGATTTTGCCAAACGACAATTTCCCGGCTGAATCTAGATTCCTCTGACTGAGAAGGTTGCTTGGCTAGATTTACCAGGAGAGCCGTTTCCTTGTTTCATTTTATCTTAGTTCAGAATCTCATCTTTCTTATTTAACCCATGTAATCTACAGTGTTTCAACAATATTAAGCAGCAACAGTGGCGGTTTTACCATTAGGCATAGGTCGGCGGCCGCCTGGGGCTCCCTTATGTTGGGGGCCCCCTAGCCCTGACTGCTGGCACCCCTCTGTTAATGCCACAATGGACTATTCCTTTAAAACAGGAAGTGATGGTAGTCATTCCACTCCAATCCAGCTGGTGGCGGTAATGCAAATGCAAATTGTTGTTTGCCAAGTGCCATAAGAGCACAAATAAGAAGAGAAGAGGCGGGAGCGTTCGTAACAAACTTGAAGCGGTGGTGAAAACATGAAGCATGAAACGGATTTATCCTAGTGGCTTTAAAAAAGCTTTTATCTTCACTTCCAAAAGTGATGTCGTCTTTCTAAACATTAGGGCTGGGGGTAAACGATTATTTTTAAAACGATTATTCTGACGATTATTTTATCGAATAGTCGACTATTCTAATGACTATTAAGACAATTAATCTAATGATTATTTTTCTATTGCACAGTTAATAAAAACCAAAAAATCTCTTAATAAATTCCTCAAAAAAAGTGATAAATTGTTACTGTAAGAGAATAAACACTACAGGCCTTCCATTTTGTATAACACTGCTTTTATTGTGTTGCGGTTGGTTATGTTCTGGTGACGTGTAGAACTTGGGAGTGCAGGCTGCTGCCTGAGAGGTGGTAGAAGACGGAGTGTCTCCATACTGCTTTGTTTTGGTCACTTATGTGCGTGAGGCGAGTGGTGTTACGACTCTTCCTGGGGAGTTGGGCACGTGTGCAAAAAGGGACAATAACGGGATTTAAAAGTTAAAATGATGATCAGGTTTATTTACAACTACAAAAAAATCATAAACCTTTCCATGCTTTTGTTTTTTTTAAAACACAAACAGTTTTGTTTACCTGTTTTGTAGCTACACTTTCGCCGACGGCTGCCGGCTTCTTCATGCTGACGCTGATGGTGGCGCGTCACTTCCTTCTCCGTTTATCTGCGGGCAGTAGAGGACGTTGTCGCCCTCTACTGCCCGCTCTCCCCTCTCCGACGATGCAGCTGGACAAAAATGTGGAGTCGTTTACAAAATCCCATGCAAACTCTGCAATAAAACATACATAGGACAAACCGGACGCCAACTCAACACACGAACAATAGAACACAGAAAGGAGTGCGAGAAAGAGGCAAATCGAAAACACACAAGAGCAGCAAAAGAAGAAGCAGAAAGTACAATAAAGAAGTCAGCCGTAACAGATCACTGCATAAGAGAAAACCATATAATGGACTGGGACAGCACACGGATCATAACCACCGAACAACAAAAATACAAAAGATGGATCAAGGAAGCAATCGAGATAAGGAGACGTGGATGTGGGACCATGAACAGGGACGACGGAGTTTACACGCTGGACCACGCATGGGACTGCATCGTCGGAGAGGGGAGAGCGGGCAGTAGAGGGCGATAACGTCCTCTACTGCCCGCAGATAAACGGAGAAGGAAGTGACGCGCCACCATCAGCGTCAGCCTGAAGAAGCCGGCAGCCGTCGGCGAAACTGTAGCTACAAACAGGTAAACAAAACTGTTTCTGTGTTTAAAAAAGAACGAAAGCATGGAATTAGAACCACGACACAGTAAGAACACACCTAAGATAAACCTTTCCATCTGCAGGTTGGGAATAATAAAACTAATTCAGCCTGTGGGGAATTAAAACAAAAGTACAAAAAAGTAGGGATGTCCCACTGGGCAAAGATTACAGGGTTACAGCGCATCTGACCCCGGAAGTTGTTGTCCGTTGCCGGGAGACGAAGGCAGGCAACACAGGAAAAGAATCTAGTAGTGGACGGACATTGTTCCGGGTCTTCGGTATTTGGCGGAGATGTTAGTGAAGTCGGAGAAGAGGCGAACTAGAGGAAAAACAGGCAGATTCCTCCTCTACTTACAAACTCCTGGGGATGCAACAAGTGGGCGCAGTGCGTCGACTTCCGGATCTGACGTCGACAAATTTTTAGAATCGAGCCGTCGACGTCTTCGAGGCTTCGCTACAGCCCTACTCATCACAGATGTCAGGAGTGTCTCAAAGTACGCCACACAGCATTTTAAGTGGGTAAATGCCAGGGATCTTCAGATGGAGTTAGTTGACCTCCAAGCAAACTTGGCCATGAAAGAACTGTCTGCCAGGACTGACCCGTCCTCATTCTGGCTCCAAATGGTTCCTGAGACAGCTTTCTCACGTCTAAAGAAAGTAGCCCTGTACATTCTGACCATGTTTGGTTCCACCACAACTGTGAGGCAGCGTTCTCCACAATGAACATTATAAAAAACAAATATCGTTCTAGGCTCACCAGTGAGCATCTCCACACATGCATGAGGATGGCTCTGTCTCCATTCAAGCCCAGGTTCAAAATGTTGGCAGGACAAGCAAGAGCTCCCTTCTCTCACTAAGTAAAAATGTGGAAAACATTAACCTAAATATATGTTCAGTTATTACATGTGTGCAGAGTCACATTTTTTAAATCGTTTTAAGACTTTTTAGTTCGCACGTGAAGAGGAAAAATGTAAAAAATTAAGCTTTTTCTACATTTATTGTATTCTGAAGTTAGTAGCTTGTGAAGATTCAGTTGCCATGTCTTATTTTCTTGTTGACATTTTTTTCTACTTTTATTTAGTAAATGAGAGAACATTCCAAATAAGAAATCATTTACATGTTGAACACTTTAAGTATCAAAAGTATTTGAATTACACTAAAGTATTTCTGATTTGATACGCAAATTAATAATGCAGATGTTGCTAAAACTACTACGACACTTAAATACATGTCACACTATTGTAGGTCGGACATTATGATCTTTCGGACCTTGGGCTAAAAATATTCTTTCTGACTGGACCTTTTTAAATAGTATTTGTGTACCCCTGCTATGAATGATAACGCTCAACATCTGATGAAGGAAATAAAGTGACAGCTTGATTCAATATGAACTTGCCCTGCTGAAAAATCCCAGAATATTTTGTATTTGGTGCTGGATTATAGGACGTTAACCCAGACTACCAGCAAACCACGAGGAACTGCTTCATCAACTTCATCCAAACATCAACCTGGTGGTAGAATAACTATTTTATGTTATTTTTTTCTTTTGTACAAGTCATCAGGGGAGAGCGCGAACGCAGTCCCCCACTACCAGAAATTATGCAGTCGAGATTCCCACATTTGGGGAATTCGCAGGGGTCAGCACAACACAGAGTGCAATGGCTGAGCCTCACCCTGGGTGAACCACCTTCTTGATCATGGTATCTCCCCTGCCAGGTAAGTATGAGTTGTTCAGCTCACGCATGGGGACCTCTTTCCCTCACATGCTGCTCTGACTCCTGGTGCCAGTGAAAACACAATAAAAGGAGCAGCTTTACAGATTTATTATATAAAAGGAGCAGATACACAAAGGCTGACCCAGACTGTCAACCTTTAGTAACATTTTATTTTAAAAGTTCATCTCATCATTCCCATAATGCAATGCTGCACTTGTGCACAAAAGGCTAACAGAAACGTATCACATGTTAGCCATATACACGCTACCAGAAGTGACCAACAACCACACGGTGTTCAGATGAAACAAGGCGGAGTCACAGCAACGTTAAACTCTGTGGTTCACATCAGAAATGTAGAGAAAATAATACAAAACCAACCTCAGATCAGCTTCTCTGCTAGCGATGACGCTACTTCCTGCTTCTCTGCACGGTCTGCTGCTGCCACCTGCTGGTCAGTAGTGGGAACAGTCCTGGTTGTTTCTTAGAGGGATTTAAATCTGCAAGAGAGTAAAACAAGACTTTAAAATAATGTCTAAATATCTAACAAGTGGCTAATATGAAAACATCTCCATAAAAATCAAACAAAAAGAAGCTCTAACTTTACTACAGGCTGTAGAAACAACTCTGTCGACCTCTAGCTGAGAGAAAAACAAACTGCAGATGTTAACAGTTGAATCAAAGCTCCAGACTGTCCACACACAGAGCAGTAGGGGGTGGGGAAGAGGGTGAATCAGACTCAGACACACAGCAGAGAACATGAAAAGTCCAGAATATTTTATACTTGGTGCTGGATTATAGGATGTTAATCCAGAATACCAGCATGCCACGAGGAACTGTTACATCACCCCCGGGATTCTCAATGTAAACTCACTGATAATTGTTATTTTTTACATAGAGTGGGGGTGCACCGTTCCTGGAGGTACTGCAATACCAGGTCGATGCGTGGAGTGGACGGAGCAAGCCCCTATTCCATCTCCCTGCTCCAAAAATCAATTTAATATATGGTCCCCGGATAGGGGACGTATCAGATATTAAACTGATAAGAACAGATACTACACTTGATCTTAGCCAAAAGGCCGAGAAGCGATACCACAAAAGGTCTGAGGACAGGACGTCATTCCGCTCATTGTCATTCTGACTCACGGTTAAAAATACATCATTACATTTAAACTCATAACGAAACCGCGTAAATGCCGTTTTAACAGCGTTACACGATCCAGTGTGTTGTTGATGTAAACTGCGGAAAAAATAATGAAGTTACAAAACGCGGCTTTGCTTCCGGGTCACGCGGTACACTTTGGTCCAATAAGAAACAAACAAAAGTCAAAAGCGATTCACTTTCTTCACATTTATTTTAAGTTAAGACTCAGACGTTTAACATGTGAACTGTATTCTGACGCAATCTTTGAAATGGAATAAAACTGTACTGTAACTTCATTTATGAGAGAGTTAGGGGAAAAGAAACATGGTTAGTTTGGGTGGACCTCGTTAAACGAATAAAAACAACAAAAACAAGGATTCTGTCGTTAAAATAAGTTCTAAATAATATTTATGACGAAGACGTATTTACCACCTCGCCTGCTCCGACAGCACCACTCAAACATCCCTCGCTTATTGTGTTACTATTGCCGTTTTATTGTCTTGAATAAAAAAGAACAATCACATTTAAACTTACAACATTGAACGAAGCGTGAACGCACCTCAACTCGAATTGGGGACGCCCTACGTGAATAAACCTATTTAAACTTATTTCACCACTTATTCTTGTTTCCTGCGGTTAGTTAAGTCATTCAGAAGTAAAAACGGGACATAAAGTTTTTTTAAGTGTCTCAAAGTACGCCACACAGCATTTTAAATGGGTAAATGCCAGGGATCTTCAGATGGAGTTAGTTGACCTCCAAGCAAACTTGGCCATGAAAGAACTGTCTGCCAGGACTGACCCGTCCTCATTCTGGCTCCAAATGGTTCCTGAGACAGCTTTCTCACGTCTAAAAAAGTAGCCCTGTACATTCTGACCATGTTTGGTTCCACCACAACTGTGAGGCAGCGTTCTCCACAATGAACATTATAAAAAACAAATATCGTTCTAGGCTCACCAGTGAGCATCTCCACACATGCATGAGGATGGCTCTGTCTCCATTCAAGCCCAGGTTCAAAATGTTGGCAGGACAAGCAAGAGCTCCCTTCTCTCACTAAGTAAAAATGTGGAAAACATTAACCTAAATATATGTTCAGTTATTACATGTGTGCAGAGTCACATTTTTTAAATCGTTTTAAGACTTTTTAGTTCGCACGTGAAGAGGAAAAATGTAAAAAATTAAGCTTTTTCTACATTTATTGTATTCTGAAGTTAGTAGCTTGTGAAGATTCAGTTGCCATGTCTTATTTTCTTGTTGACATTTTTTTCTACTTTTATTTAGTAAATGAGAGAACATTCCAAATAAGAAATCATTTACATGTTCAACACTTTCAACAAGTGTCAAAAGTATTTGAATTACACTGAAGTATTTCTGATTTGATATGCAAATTAATAATGCAGATGTTGCTAAAACTGCTAGGATACTTAAATACATGTCACACTAT